TAAAATAATGTATCCTTGGTTTCTGTCCATAATGCATCAATGGCTTACTTTCTTAATTTTATAAAATATATTTTTAGTCCTCTAATCCTAATACCCTTAATTTCAAATGGTTGTTTTTAGTGCTAATCATTGTTGTTTTAAAAAATTAAAATTAATATGTCAATATTTAAAAATATTTTATCAAAATCTAAAATATTAATGTAATAATTTTTTTATATAAAAAAGTTTAGGCAAGTTGGATCGTGAAAACTCACTAGGATTAAGACATAATGCAAGACTTAAAAAAATATTATAAAATTAAGGAATGAAAATGAAATCTTATGTATAGTTAAAGGATTAATAGCTTAAAAATTAAAATAGAAGAATCATCTTAAAAATAGATTGTATATGTCACGTCTCAAAAATAGAGAGTGACCAGCATGGATATGAATTACTTGCACATCTTCATAAGTCTCAAAATGAAAATTTATTCCATTTTACGAAAGAAAAGAATAAAATTTAATCAAATCACATGAGAATTAAAATAACTCCTTTAAACTCATTATCATAAGAAAGTGTCAATGTTTTTGTAAAAATTTCAGCAGAACCTCCATTGTAACTAGGATCTCCCAAAAATTCTACAACAAATTTTTTTATATAGATAATAGTATAAATCAGGAGCGTAGCTCCTTCCAGCCAACAACCCATATACAAACCAAAACAAAGTATATTAACAACCTATATGGAGCATCTAATCTTTATTTTAAATCAAAAAGACATACGAACTATATATTTACATTAAAAGAAATAATACCAATTCAAAACTTTCACCTAGTGTAGCTATTCTATCCTTTTAGGGTCGGCGTTAGCTAACAAATCTGAGGCTACAATAATTTTTCAGTGAATAGCATTCCTATGATAAAATTCTTAGAATTTAAATCAATAAATTTCAATAATGGTGTCAACTAATTAAAAATGATTCCACAAAAATTTATAAGCCTATAAGTTATATCCATAATTGTAAAATAAGAGTAAATTAAAAATAATTTATGTTATCATGTTTAAAGAAAATAATTTACCCACATCTTCCTCAAAGTGGTAAAATTGTTAGCCAAAATCATGTAAATTTTGAAAAACATTTTAGTCAACATGTAAAATTTTGAAAACTCAATAGAACAAGTTATAAACGTGAACACACAGTCCACGAGGGTAAATAACCAAACGTGGCTTATGCCACAAAAACAAACACGGACACATCAGTCCACGAGAGCAAGTATCCAAACGCAGCTAAAGCTACAAAACAAACGTGAACACATAGTTCACGAGGGCAAGTAACCAAACGTGGCTCAGGCCATGGAATCAAATGCGAGTACAAAGCCCACGAATATCAAACGTGAGAGCAAAGCTCACGAAACAAACTAGCTAGTGTTTAACCGCAGCGCTACGAGCTAATGGAACTGCCGTTAGCATCAATATTCTGTATAGAGTTCTCTTAGAAATCTCATTTCAAACATTCGAGAGAAATAATTATTTTTAAAGTTAAATTTTCATTCTCAAGATCAAACTCATATGAATTGCTTCAAATATTTGAAACTTGCCAAATCGATACATCATAACGAATGTACAAACTTGCAATAATCATGCCACCAAGAATTTTGAAATTCAATAAACAAAGGTGCCTTCATTAATATTAGAAATATATTTCTTGAGAAAATGCGCAAGTCATAATGTAACTATCCTTCATCATTGTTTCAAAATTTCTAAAACTAACATAATTCATAAAAATGAAATATTTCAATAAAAGATTTTTAATAAATAATTATAAGGAATGCTATTCACTTACTTGTTGAAGTTTCAGTTTCTCACAATATTCTTTCTTTACTTTCTGTCAGGATCCTCTTCCTCCACACGTCCTATAAATATATTAGTAGACAAAATTTAATAAATCATCTTTTAATTTACAAAGGCTCCCTTCCAAATTTCAGTTTCTATCGATATCCAGTTATTTCCAATTGAGAATTAAATCCACACTATCATCATCTCCCTTTTCTTATTATATATTTCAACTTAATTCAAGTATTATATTTTTTTATTTATTTTTTTCCATACACCACACATACAGTCACGGCAGCAGTACAAAGAAGAATAATTTTCAGTATCCAACTCTATTATTCCATCCATTCACATGCACAATAGACCAATAATTGAAAGAATGCAAAATTTCTCACCTTAGTTAGCCGACAGTGCACACACACAGAGGGAGGAAGAAAATTGAATCTACAACTGAACACGGGAAGAAGAATACAGCAATATTTCAGCCTCAACCCATGAATTAATCCTTCCATAGCACCATATCAGCTCTTCCTTCACTTCCCAACCACAAACGAACAAAATAAAGGAAGAAGAGACCAAGAGGCTGTCAACCAAATAGGAAGAGAAGATGAGATTTTTATCTGAACCAAAAAGAAGGAAAACAGAGCATCACTCATGAGAGGAAAAAGTGAACTTAGCATTAATTCAGATTCGCGATTAGTACACCCACTCTAGTGACCTGATTTCTTCCATCAGCCAATGACCCAGATGTGCACAGCAAAGATAGAATAGCAGCACAAAAAAGAAAACAATAGAAGCAGGGAGCATGAAGAAGGACCTGGACATATCAAAACAATGATAAGCCTCCACTTCTATTGTATCGGTACTGAGCACAGAACGGAGGAGAGGAAGATGATGGGTAGTGACTTTCTTTTGGCTAAACTTAGAGGCTTTTCAAATGAAATTTCTAGGTCCCTCTTGAGCTTTGTACATGTGTATTGGAAAGGAGAGAAGAGAATAATAATCAAATGGAAGAGAGGGCTGTTTAGTAATTTTGGAGGAGCTGAAACCAAAAATAAAATCCCATTTAGCATGAGGAAATTTGAACTTGGGATCTTATTAATGGGTGTCATACACACTCCCGCTCTACCAACACTTCATATTATCATAATGGTCCCAAAATGAATATAACTATAACTAATACACCTTATTATATATTTAATATCATTTTTTTTCCACAAAACTTTATAGGTTATTACAGTATGTATGTATGTATGTATGTATGTATGGCATTATATAAAAAAAGATTCCCCCTCACTTCCTGTAAACACAAGTCTACACCGCACATTCGATTCTTGTATGGTAAATTCTAATTGGCCAAACGCAACGGCTCCCTCTAATTTTTGCTTCCTAAGTGCAAATATGCGTTTTCGATTTTGATCTACTTTTCTTCTTCCTTTTCTTCTTGTTTCACTTTCACTCTTCCTCTTTTCTCTTCTTCTTCATCTTCTTTCGCTTTAACTTGTGACGTTCAATTCTTTACGCAAATCAAATGTTTGAAACAATGATGCACTCGGAAGAAAAGCATAAGATGCTATGGATGTGTCTCATTGGCTTTTATCTTAATCTGAGGTAAATTTCATTCTGCTAGCTTTCTTCTTCCCCGCCTTTCCTTCTCTGGATCATTTATTCAATTTCATTGGCATCGTCGATCTATTCTTCAAATCTTAATTTTGTAAGATTTATTGCTTTTTTTTTTTGTTTCATTATTTCCTGCCATTTATTTCTGGAGATTCCATTGCCTTTTTTAAAAGAAAAATGACAATTAGAGACTCCACAAGAATATTAATAACAATTATAAACTTTAAACTATTAAAATCCCAAATAGACCATGGTCTTTACTTGCAATTAAAAAAATGTGAATAAAGTTGAAAAATCACCAAAATAAACTTAGGATTATTTGTAATATCAGTTAAAAATTTATAAAAATTAATTGTAAATCTCAATTTTTTGCTGTTAATATATATATATATATATATATAAACCACTTGAGAAATCAAGAAAATAAACTTGAAATCATTTGTTTACGAGAGTTAGTTGTAAATCATAAATCAATCACTTGTGACTTTTTTGCTTGCAATATATAGATAAATCAGTTGAAAAATCTATAAAATACATTTAAAATTATTTGTAATGTTAGATAGAATTTACGAGGCTCAGTTGTGAATTACAAGCCTATCACTTATGATTTTTTCATTATCATTTGGGAAATCATCAAAGGATATTTGCGAATCTTTATAATGTTAGTTGGAGATTTACAAAAATCTGCTATTAATTTCAAACCAATCAACAAAAGATAATTTATTGAAAATAAGGACTATGATTTGTTATTGATATTTTAATAATTTAATGTTTGTTGAAAAATCTTTAAGGTATGTAAATCTCACGTGGGATTCTTAATTGTCATTTTTTTAAAAGTGTTTCAATTGTACAAATTAATGTTCTCATGATATAAATTACTTCCTTCATTTTTTATTTGTAAGAGAAAAAAAATTATATGACACAGTTTAAGAAAATCAGTAATTATATTAATTGTGTCTGAAAATAAAAAAATTTGACTACAATGCCCTTTATTAATTGTGTTAATCAAGTCTTTATTAATTGTTTCTTATGATTATGAATGATAAAATTATGAGGGGTAATTTAAAAAGTTTGCAATACATGTTTATTGAAAAATGTAATTTCGCTTATATAAAAAACCAAATTAAAAGTATTAGTTTATCTTATAAATAGAAATGGAGGGAGTATGACATTTTACTTTTCATCTGCAATGGAAAGCTTCTGCTTGCCGAAGTTGGATTTGATATATATATATATATATATAATGTGTGTGTGTGTAATGTCAAGCTAAAAGATCCTTTCGGCTTCCGTAAATAATTATAGAACTTTTTATATAGATATGTAGGAAGGCAATTTGATGCACATGGCTTATAAGTAATATATTTTTAACTTAAATTGAGTTCTGTATTGTCCTTTGCAGCATATTTGTTTGCTTGTTTCAAGGTCTTTTTAAAATGTTGAGTCAATTACTTGATAGGTGAGCAAACTGGGAATTACTTGATAGTTGAGCAAACCCTGACTAATATGTATATAATATATATCAATATAACCCCTTCCGTTAGTACATGGTGCGTGTATGAAAATTAATCAGTCCGTTGAAGTCAATTATGCAAGAGACAATGAATTTGTCCAAGAAGGAGAAGCTACGCAGGGATGCCAGAAGAGGCAAGTGGTCTGAAGTATTTGAAACGTACGAGAAAGAAAGGGCGCTTCGCACGACCAAGATCACGGCGACAGGAGACACAGTGTTACACATGTTGGTGTCTAATGGGGAAGAGAAGATGGTGGCAAACCTGGTGGACTTCTTAGTTCGAGAAGAGAAAGGTCTGAAAGCGCAGAATAAGGATGTGATGGTTCCAGTGGATGGAGATGACGAAGAGACTCAGAACAAGGATGAAGTGGTTCCAGTGGATGGAGATGACGGAGAGACTGAGAATAAGGATGTGGTGGTTCCAGTGAACGTCGTCCTTGGGGCTCAGAATACGAGAAAGAATACTCCTCTGCATTTAGCAGCATCAATGGGGAAGGTTGAAATATGTAAGAAGATCGGTCGTGCAGTGCCCTCCTTAATTGCTAAACGCAACATCGCCGGCGAGACACCCCTTTTCCTGGCGGCTCTTTGTGGCAAGAAAAATGCTTTTCTTTGGCTTCATTATATTTATAGGTCAAGATACCCTGAAGTTTCTCCAACCGACCACTGCATAAGGAATGACAAGGATACTATTCTTCATTGCGCAATTGCAGAAGGGCATTTTGGTAAATTGAAATTAAATTTCATTTGTTTTTATAAAACTGTTCTTGCTGTCTTTGACTTCCTATTTTGGATGGTTTATTGCTTTATGATTTGACAGATGTGGCAATCGAAATAGTTGACCTTTACGAAGATCTCGTGAAAGCGACGAGTATCAACAACGAAGGGTTGTCTCCACTCCACCTGCTAGCAGCAATGCCTTCAGCTTTCAAAAGTTCTAGCCTCTTTGATCGACCGTACATTGATTATCTCATTTACCATCGTAAGTACTGTTTTTTTTTTTTAATACCTGGCCATTGTTTTTTAAAAGAACCACGTAAAATGCCAAGCTTGAAATGGCATCTAGACGATTTTAAAATAAAAAAGTTTAGATACTTACTCTTATATATTTAAAATATTTTTATATAATCTAATTAAAACATATTTTGATACTCTCTTCATTAAAAATTATAAGGTATTTTTAATTAAATCTTATATTTTAATAAAATATTTAGTTCATTAGTTGTCTTGAAATTAATACTATTTTTTCATATTAGTTTCTATTTAATAGGGCATTTTACTTTAAGATAAATATAAAGTGACTTATTTTTTAGGAGCACTTTTAGAAAAAGCATAATAATTACACCTTAAAATATTAAAAATGTCTTATATTTTTTAACATTTAATTACTTAAAAAATATCTTATATTTTCTTAATAAAGGGAATATGTCAATAATATTAATAACAAAAGTTAGTTATAAAAAAACATAAATAATATATAAAAGTTTAGTATACCTCGATGAGAAATTATGTTGGAGCTATCTAACAATTCATACTACGATACGTCATTTATGGTTAGATACTTTCTTTTTTCATGCTTTATATAGATGGTTTGCATCATTTATGACTTCTGAATATTAAATAGGCTTTATCTTTTATCAGACTAAATTAGACGTAACTGTTTTGACATTAATGAAAACATGCGTTTTAGCTTGTTTTACTGCCACCTGATGCAATCAGTAACTGGTTTCGACAAATCTCCTTGGAACAACCTCTAAAAGCACAGTATTATCAATGTTGAATAATGAGGCTGAGATACGAGCGCAAAATATAGTACCAGCTGAACACGATATATATGTGTGTGAGTGTGAGTGTGTCTATGCGTGCATATATAAAAGGAAAAAATTTATATACTTAGTGTTGTTTCCGATTAAATAAAAACATGTGGATGTGGACTTTTTATAGATAAAAAAAATTCTGTCTTCCTCTCCAAAATATTTATTATTGTACTCCATATATAATTAATATTCTTGTTTTATTTGTCTGGAACTTGAAAGTTTTGCCAATTAGGGAGAAGAAGGGTGCTACGAAGATTCCTGACTTGGACGAAGAACACAAACCAAATGTCAGTGATTATGTGCTCAAGCTTATTAATGGTAAGCACGTTTCACGTGCTGACGCACTACTGACTACCCCCAGCTATTGTTTCTTCTCTTCACACACGTGCATCAATGTCAATTAGCTTTTGCTTGAAGGCCTTATCTTGCACACAATGTAACTAAAGAAAGATTATTGTCGCTATTTATATGTCTTTAAATCATATAGTATATATTTCAATCAATCGCCAGAAGTCATGAATAGCGTCACATATCTCTTACTTGGTGTAATATAATATACGGTACCCATATCTAATTCAACCAAAAAAAGAAGAAGAAGAAGTTATATTAAAGAATTTCAGAGGACGAGTGTGAATAATTTATTATTATATATAAGGTTCAGGGATCGAGGGGTAGGTACGGTGTTCATAATATGGTTTATTCATGCGCATATATCATGCCACTAATAAATTTTCTTTTGACAGATATATGTTCACCCGGACATGGTTACGAGTACAGATTCTCTCCAACCTGGTCTGAAAAGGTCTTTGATTGCATAATACTGGTCCTGCATCACCTGCTGGAAATTCTTGAACGAGGTATTTATATACGCCATGATCATATCAATGTTAGTTGCAAGATGTTTATTTAATGAAAAATATAACACACACACACAGAGAGAAAATATATATTAATTGATTATATATATATATATACACGCATTTATCTTCTACTATTCCTAGGTGGATGGAGAAAATTGAATGGGATACGAAAAAAGAAGGAGATGCACAAATCGTCTGTCCAAATAATGAATGCACTTCTTAAGGATGCTTCCGAGTCAGCGAATGGAACCCCGCTTGAAAGGTCTCCAACTTTTACCGGTAAAAAAGATTCACCTATTATTCACAAAGCATGATGATTAATATTCGTATTTTATAAAAAAAGATTCATTTCTATTATTCACAGAGCATGATGATTATAATCTAACATTGTGCGGGATTCAATTAATAGAGTCGGTGTCAAGCGTGAAAAATGGTGAAAAGAAAATTGAGACGCCGCTAATAATCGCTGCAAAAAACGGTGTGAAAGAAATGGTGGAGAAAATTCTGGAATTATTTCCATCAAGCATTGAGGATGTGAATGACGAGGGAAAAAACATAGTCCTATTAGCAGCAGAAAAGAGGCAGACCAAAGTATATCAGTTTCTGTGCGAAAAGAAAATCCTTAACGAAAATCTATTTCGGCAAGCGGATAAAGAGGGCAATAGTGCATTGCATTTGGCTGCCAGGCTTGGAGACGAGCCTTGGCTCATTCCTGGAGAAGCACTTCAGATGCAATGGGAAATCAAGTGGTTTAATGTGAGTATGGATAATTTCTCACTGTTATAACTTTTTTCTTTCTACTTGTTTTGTTTATACAAATATTTTCTTGTCATATTATTATAAGGTTTGCACCTTAGAGTTATGCTTTCAAGGTCCAAATTCAAAACCCTCTAATACTTCTATTCACATTTCGATGCCTAAACTGTGAAACAAACTTTCTTAAAGTTGTGTATCAACTATATAACCTTTACGAAATCTCATAAACTTTCAAATTTCCATAGATAATCCCTTACCATTAATAAATCCATTATTTTGTTAATATAGCATGGTATGTTAGTGACTATGCACTATTAATTTTGAATTTCTTGTTTTATATATGCAGATAAAACACCCTCCTCAAAGTCAAAATTTAGTTAATTTACAGGAAAAAAAATGTAATTTTTGGTCCTTGGGTTTTTCCTTTAGTTATTTTAGTCCTTTAACTTGAATTTGAAATAATTCAATTCCTAAACTTTGCTAACTCGAAATTACTCGGTCACTATAGTTTTTGGACTCATTTAGTACTGTTTAATCCTTATAATTGATACTGCTTAACTTTGCATCAAGGTAAATTTTAGGAACTAAATTGATAATTAAAGGAAAAATTTAGGGACAATAAATTACATTATTCTTACTGTGTATGTGCAAATAATGCTTATATTTTAATTTATGTTCTTTGCATAAAATAGAGTTTAGAGTGATCACTGTACACACACATATGAGGAGGTTCTTTGCACACAACTCATGTGAGAGGGAGGGTCATTTTTTTTTCAAGAAAATAAAGAAAAAATGGAGTCTATTCAAATAAACTAAATGCCAAGAATTTGTTTAAATGGGGTCATGCATTATTTTAACTACATTCTACTCCAGTCGTACTCTATTATTCAAATCAAAACGTTAAATGAATATATGTTGCATTGGTGATGCAGTTTGTGAAGGATTCAGTACCCCCTCGTGTGTTTGCGAGATACAACAATAGCTATGAAACCCCATATGACATCTTCAGGGAAACCCACAAGAATCTAGTGACAAGCGGCGGAAAGTGGCTGAGTAAAACCTCACAAGCTTGTTCTGTGGTATCAACGCTGATCGCCACGGTGGCCTTTTCCACAATCGGCGATCTGCCCCCGAAGTTCACCACCCCAACCCCAGAAAACAAGACAGGGTTCAAATGGTTTGCTTCCTCATCATTGGTTGCCTTCTGCTCCTCCCTCATCTCCACCTTCCTCTTCCTCTCTATTCTCACCTCTCGCTATCAGCCTATAGACTTTCACATGGAGCTTCCCAGGAGGCTTATATTTGGCATGACCTTCTTGTTCCTCGCCATTGCCAACATTTGGCTCTCTTTCTGTGTTGGCCATGCCTTCTTGCTTGAGCAACACTTCCGAAATAGTTATCAAAACATTTATATCTTGGCTTCAGTGCTTGTCACTGTTTTTGTTTTGGAACAGTTTCCCTTGTACTTTGATCTCATCACTGCCAACTTTACCAAAGTTCCATCCCCTAGCCACAAGGCCACCCCTGCAATTGAGTACCGATCCACCAAGAAAAAGGAAAATATTAACGGTGGTAGTACGGATGGAATTGAAACGACGATCAAATTAAATTAACTAAGCGGATGTCTTATTGTTCAAACAAGACCCACCATATCATCATCACCTTTAGTTTTAGAATCTTGTCTGTGATTAATATGGTATTGTTCTTTGCGTCTTGACTGCAATAAAATGTGTAAATGTACTCAAACTGTGTAGCTATACAGTTTCAACTTTCAAAGGTGAAAGTATACCTTTGAATTTCCCAAACTACATACAAGATTATGTTTAAGTTTCATCTCTTAATTTTATAAAATATAATTTTTTTAATTTTAATATTGTTATTCTCAAAAGATGATTTTTTATTCCAGTCATAGTCATGTTCAAAAATTAAATTTAATATATCAATGTTTGAAAATGTTTTATCAATATTTTAAAAATTCAATGTGGACAGTTTTAATAAAACTAATGGCATTATAACTAAACGATTGAAAAAAAATTATAAATTAAAATTAAAGGATCAAAAGCAAACTTTTATACTATTTAAAAAATCATCATCTGTCATAAATTGGTCTATTTTTTTAATTTTAAGTTTTATGATTTTTATTCTTTTAACCCCATGAGCTGGATTTTATGGAACCTATTTGGTGTAACAGAACGGAGTCTTTTTATTTTTTCAAAGCCCGTGCCATCAAAACTTGCTTGATTTAGAATCGTCTTAAGCCATGGGATTGTTTGGGCTTTTCCATGGAATTGAAACTTCATAACCTTTTTATTTGTTTATGATTGAACAATAAATACCAGGCATCCTAGAGACGTTGAGTCTCAATAGATAATGAAAAGAGTCTCGAGTTCTCTTATCACAGGTCGCTCGAATGTAAAAAGATATAAGGCGTTGGTAGAATAAGTGTATGATTTTATTGAAGTGTAAAAGATTACAGACTAAAAACTAAGAACTAGAAAGAGCTAATGAATGTAAAATGTGTGAGCCTTGATTGAGTGTTGACTAATTTTCTTTGTTTTTCTTCTTTATATTTATAGTTTTGAATAGCGGAAGCCTTTCCCTTGGGACTTAGCATGTTCTGTCGAAAAATCAGGAATCTCGTGAAACTTATGACACGGTCTCTCTATTTTGATAACCAGCCCATTTCACTAGACTACTTGAGTGTAGATTTCAGCATTACTTAGAATCATGTCTTCGTGCCAATGATTTAATATTTGCAGCTTATGGGATTTCAGCATGTTTACTTTTATGGATTTTATTGAGTTCGAGGCCATTTTCTTTTGTTTATATTGGGCCTAACGCTTTGATTATTTAGCCCAACTAGCTTTATGACCTATTTGAATGACGTTTCATATTTATGCTAAACACTATCTTCATGTGCCTATATTTTTATCAAATTACCCTTCCACATATGATTGAGCATAAGGCAGAACACATGGACAAGCTGATCCAAAAACTTGGCTTGGCCCACGAGTTTTTTGCCCAGCCCAAAAGAGTAAAAAATCTGCTTGATTTTTGTTTGGCATGGTTGGGCTAGCCTGGAGCTTAGGTTGGGCAGGGTTAGGGCCAGCTTGTCTAACCATACTGGCCAACCTGACCCCAGCTATTTATATATATGTATGTTCAATTTTTTTTTATTGAAACGACGTCGTAAAGAGGATGGAAAAGAAAGAGAGTCTAAAGAAAGAAAGGAACCTAGTCGCAACACCCCACTCACCCTCACTCTTCAATCACTCACAGTCGCAACTCACGACGCTCACTCCCTCTTCGCCTCTTCGTCTCGTTGATATGAGATTGAGAATTGCTCGCTCACTTGAGTCCTTCAAGTTCAACCGTTGTTTGATTTCTCATTCATCTACGGCTTTATCTTTGAATTCAGGCTTCGACTTTCGTGGGCATGGATGTTTTGTTCGTGACTCACTTGGCGGCTTCATCTTCCCTCTTCCCCTCTGTTTTCCCTCTTCGTGATTCACTTGGCATCTTCATCTTCCTCTTCGTCTTCGTCTCCATCTCCAGCTCGAGTTCATTTGCAACTCAAGGTATGTTCATTTCATGTTTGCTTCGTCTCTGTTCTGATTCGTGCTTCATCCCTGGGTGTGACTATTTGGGGCTTCAAGAATATGATTTTTGCTCTAATTTTTTTTTTTGCTGTTCGTCACGAACAGTTCGTGTGCTGTGATTCGTGACTCACTGCATGTTCTAAATTTTTCTTGCCTTTGGCTGGGTCTGGCATGACAATACTAATTTTTGGTCTAATTAATTGTAGAATTTGAAATTTAGAAACCATGATATGTCGAAGCTTGTTCTGACTTTTGAACTTCACTGCCTTTGTCTAAATTTTTTTAGGAACCGTGTCATGAATGGTGGATGCCTTGGTGCTTCACACGGTGTTTGTGCAAGAAGAAAGGCAAGAGCCGAGAATATTGAACTTGCTGGCTGGAAGTGGACATTATTTATTAGGGAATGTTGAATGTTGAACTTGAATCATGAATGGTGGATGCTTTGTTGGGTTGTTGTTGTTTTTTTTTTTGGTTTAACTGAAGGTTTCTTCGGCCCAAAAATATCCTTATTATGGATTTATTGTTATTTTAATTGTAATTGGTTGCTGTGCCTGTGCCTGTCATTATTTCATATTTTTGGTTGATTTTATGAAAAGTCATTTGAAGCACCAAATGGGGCATTTCAGCCTGAGCATGCTCCAGTTGCCTGACCCTGCCCGCTCCCCTCTAACTTCATGTATGTGCAGACATCGGGCTCGACTTTTTGTCTAAAGGGTTCTGCCCGATCCAACCCTATCTATATAGAGTCCTAATTGAGCATATGAATCACAAGCAATTCCCCCGTATCCACCAAACATACAACAGAAATGGCGAACAATGATGGGATTGAAGAATCTGATAGATAGACAGACAATATATAAGGTAATAAAGTAAAACTTGAACCCTCATCAATATTGATATCAATATAAAATATGAAATCTATATTAAGCGGTGTTGCGCTTACGTTAGATCCACTTCAATTATTATTTCAATATTTTTTTATTTAGTTCACTTTCTACATTATTTATTTATTTAAATTGTCTTTCTTCGATTAATTTTTTATTCTATATGGTATGTGGATAAATATGTCCAATTCTATTTTAAAAAAATGATTAAAAATGAAGTCCAATAAAAACAAAGTAAATAGCTTACCACAGGCTTCAAAAGCCAACAAACGATTGAAAGAATACACGTGAACAAAAGACAACAAACGATAGAAAGAATTTGTAATGGGATTTACAAAAAACCCTTCAACAAATAATAACTTAAAAAAAAATCTAAAAGAAAATACTCCATTTATCCCAATTGACATTTTTAGACAAAATTAAGTATACCAATAAAATTTATTATAATCACTTAACAATCTTATTTTTTCAAAACAAAAATATAAATTTTAAAAAATACCTTTTGTTTAATATAATCTCATATTTGTGAAGCATTAAATAGACAGAGACAGAAAAAAGAATAAGGAGCGAAGGGTAATAATAGAACAATTATAATTAATAAAATCTTATTTTTATTAAAGTGTATTATATTTTGAAATATTGAATTACTTCCAAACATATCTTATAAACTGGGACGAAGAGAGTGTAACAATAGATTCTCATATTTTGATTGCATTTTGTTTTTTGTCCTTACTAATTTTATTTCATTATTTCAAGTCCCTATAGTTTGATTCGCTTGCAACGTTGGTATTTATTATTATTGTGTATTTAACTTTGTTAATTCTTGACGTATACTAAATCTTGCATTTGTTTTTTACATTCTGTTTTAGCCAATATAAAAGAAACTTTTTTCCTTGTTTACCATTTTATTTTTAGTCACACCTCATCAATTTATTTCCATGTCATTAGTATATTTTTACCATATCAATGAATGAGTTAGCAGAGTTATAATAAAATTACCTTCAATGTCAGCTTATGGTCATCATGTGCATTTTTAAAACTATATTGGCTAAGTTTACAAACTGATTAAATTAAAGAGACTATACATAACAAAATAAAACCATATGAACTAGAATCAAAATACAGTCAAATTAACTATAAGACCTATTGTTTTGTTTTCCCAAAGTCTAGCTGAAACAATGGGTACGACTTTAAGTACTGTCCATGACAAACATGCAGCTAATGTTAAAGGAAACCCATAATGCATCATTGGTTTGTAAAGTAAAAAGAACTAAAATAAAATTAGATTAAAATATACTTTTAATCCTTTAATTTTCTATAAGTTTTTACCTTATAATTTTATAAAATATATTTTTAGTCCTCTAATCCTAATACTCTTAATCTCAAATGATTATTTTTAATGCTAATTATTTCTATTTTAAAAATTAAACTTAATATGTTAATATTTAAAAATATTTTGTCAATATTTAAAAGTTTAATGTAAGATTTTTCTTATATAAAAAAATTTTAGGTAAGTCAGGTCACAGGGACTCACCAGAATTAGAGCATAATGCAAGACTGAAAAAATATTTTATATAATTAAGGGATTAAAATAAAATCTTATGTATAATTAAATGACTAAAATCCTAAAAATTGAAATAAAAGAACCATTGAAAAAAAATTATTTTCATATGTTTAATTACAATAAATGTAAAAGTAATTAAATATACTACATAACTATATATATATATATATATATAAAACATCATATAAAAAAGAGATTCCCCCTCACTTCCTGTAAACACAAGTCTACACTGCACATTTGATTCTTGAATGATAAATTCCAAGTGGTCAGAGCAAGCAACGGCTCTCTCTCATGTGGCTTCGCTTAGTCGGTGTTTGCATGCGTTATTCGATTTCGATATACGTTTCTTCTCCTTCTTTCACTTTCAGTCTTCCTCTTTTCTTCCTCTTCTTTCGTTTTCACTTGGGACGTTCAATTCTGTACGCAGATCAAATGTTCGGTACAATGACGCATTCGGAAGCAAAGCATGAGATACTATTCTGTCTCATTGGCTTCTGTCTTAATCTGAGGTAAAATTCATTCTGCTAGCTTTCTTCTTGCCCCTTTTCCTTCTCTGAATGATTTGTTTAATTTCATTGGCGTCGTCGATCTTTTCTTCAAATCTTTATGTTGTAAGTTTTTGTTTTTTTTTTCTGTTTGATTATTTCCATCTCTCCCAACGTCTTGCTATTTATTACTAGAGATT